TTAATGCATATTGACGCCGCTTTTTAGCGCGATTATTTTCCAAATTTTGTGCATATCGCTGCCGCTTTTTAGCGCGATTATTTTCCAAATCTTGTACATATCGCTGCCGCTTTTTAGCACGATTATTTTCTAAATTAGTCAGTATTTCTGGACATTGTTTTGAAATGCATTCCGTTTGTAACTGACTATTATTTGAATTTTTTTTTAAATTGAGAAATCTCGCAAGTTTCTTCTATTTCTAAACTAGTAAGTATTTCTGGACATTGTTTTGAAATACATTCCGTTTGTAACTGATTATTACTTGAATCTTTTTTAAATTGAGAAATCTCGCAAGTTCGTTCTATTTCTAAATTAGTCAGTATTTTTGGACATTGTTTTGAAATGCATTCCGTTTGTAACTGACTATTACTTGAATTTTTTTTTAATTGAGAGATCTCGCAAGTTCCTTCTATTTCTAAATTAGTCAGTATTTCTGGACATTGTTTTGAAATACATTCCGTTTGTAACTGATTATTACTTGAATCTTTTTTAAATTGAGAAATCTCGCAAGTTCCTTCTAATTTTAATTTTTGTTGTTTTATCTCATATTGACGTTTCGTACGCATACAAATAACTTCAGTCTCTCTTGCTTTTACTACTGCTAATGGAAGCACTTTCTGAGGAATATATTGTAAATCTTGAGGAAAATGCTCTATTACATTTGTTTCAAAAATTTTCAGCAAATGCAGACGCATTAAACTGTGATCATACTTTACTTTTTCAGGTTTAATATTAAATAACAAAGAAATCGCAAAAGCTATTGCGAAAACACCACAATCATTACCGTTTGGTTGACGTTGCACAGTAGGGAATTTGACAGAATGCTTTTCAAAATTATATGTTGGAAATAGTCTTGTTAAGAATTTTTTATGATGTTCATGTAATTTCTTAGAATTTAAAGAATCGTAAATAAATATATCCTTCATGTTATAATAACTACAAACCCAATGTCCATCAAATGAACTCGATGAACTATGTAATATTTGTATATGTTTTTTATCTTTTGAAACAGGTCGTATTGTATCAGGACATTGTATTCGCCATGTTTCAACAATTCTATAATCTGAACAATTTTCTAACAGACGTTGGAAATGATACATATGCATATCCGTCAGCCATTCACCTCGGACAATTATGTCTCTTTCTGTAGACATCAAAACTATATTTGTCTTTGTTTGCACAGACATTTTTTGTTTTAAAACTTGGTAAAAATGCAATCTATTTTATATATAAGTAATTATATATATTAAAGTATATAGTTTCTTTTTTATAGGCGCACACGCGCGAATTTGTATAGACAAAATAATTTTTTTGGAAGTGCACAATAAACTTGTAATAAACAATAATGTATATTAGCGCACAGCAGCTATTTAAATAGGCGCACAGCAGCCTGTATGAGCGCACAGCAGCTACTTAAATAGGCGCACAGCAGCCTGTATGAGCGCACAGCAGCTACTTAAATAGGCGCACAGCAGCCTGTATGAGCGCACAGCAGCTACTTAAATAGGCGCACAGCAGCCTGTATGAGCGCACAGCAGCTACTTAAATAGGCGCACAGCAGCCTGTATGAGCGCACAGCAGCTACTTAAATAGGCGCACAGCAGCCTGTATGAGCGCACAGCAGCTACTTAAATAGGCGCACAGCAGCCTGTATGAGCGCACAGCAGCTACTTAAATAGGCGCACAGCAGCCTGTATGAGCGCACAGCAGCTACTTTAATAGGCGCACAGCAACTTTATAAAGAAAAAAAAAATTATACTTATCAAATCTTGTCCTAAGAAATCCGCTTCGAAATGTTGTCAAATATTCCCGACTTAAAATTTAAAAAAGTATCTTCATATGAGAGAGAGAGAGAGAGAGAGAGAGAGAGAGAAGGAATTTACAACAATATCTATAGCTAAATATATTTTATATTATTGGATCTTAATAATGCGTAGAACAATCTCTTATAAACCTCAATTTCTTATAAACCTAATTGAAATAGTTTTGAATTTGTATTATATATATATATATACAGAATGTCCTGTCATAAGTGGCAGGACTACTTTTTATCTTTTAAATTAAAAGACATAGCAAAAGACCATAACAAATATGTAAAATTAAATGGCTCAAATTGAACTCTAATCTGAGTATAGTTGTTGTTTACAAAGCTACGTTAAAGAACGAGAAGAGGTATGCATAATTTGTTTATAATAATGTGGATATTTCGATATAATAAAAATTATAAAAATTACAGCGTTATTCAGAAAGAATACAACGATGTAATTATTTGTTATAATTATTTCATAAATTATAGGAATTTTATAGATTTGAAATATTGACGTCTACTTTTTCATTTTCAGCTCTGCGATATGACCAACTGCAGTATGATCAAGTGACAATATGACATATGTCGCCCTTTAATGCAGAAATTGGAAGTTGACCATATCGCAGAACCGAAAATGAAAATGTTAAACATCGCCTGTGATTTCAAAGCCATAAAATTCGTGCAATTTATGAAATAATTACGTTAAATCATAATCATTGTATTCGCTTTGAATAACGCTGCAACTTTTATTATATCGAAATATCCACATTATTATAAAAAAATTATGTATACCTTTTCTCGTTCCTTAACAAAAGTAACTTTTGTAAACAACTATAGTCAGAACAAAGTTCAGTTTAGGCCATTTAATTTAGTATATATTTGTTGTCTCTTAATTTAAAAGATAAAAGGTGGTCCCTACCACTTATGGCGGTTGTACAGAATGTCCGATAATAACCGTATTACCTCTCGTGTGCAAGTCAAATAGATTTTAAACCGAGTAAGAAAGTCCTCTACTGTTTTGCGATTTTCTAATAATTAATGAAAAATTAATGTCTTTTCTTACCGCACGCTTATACTCATGCAAATTGGTCGATTTTTTAAAATTAATTTTTCATTAATTATTGGAAAATCGCAAAACAGTAGAAGACTTCTACTCGGTTTAGTTTATATTGTAAAAATATATATATAGATATAACAATGTTTATTTTATAAAATTTGTTATTTTAGGATCATTACATGTATCGCTAAAAAAATTGGAAACTGAATTGATGATAAAAGTGAATAATTTGATTGATAAAATATTAAAGATTAGAACAAAAATATATTTTTTTATTGTTTGAGAATAATTACTTTCAATCTTACATTTCAATACAAATTTGTAAACGTCTGATTAATAATCTCTATATTTAAATACTTCGTCAACAAATCCTAAGTTCTCAGCAACTTTAAATCATATGTGAATATGTTATCATACTGAAAAAATTAATGTCGAATCAGTAACCAAACTTTTACAAATTTGTACTGAAGGTATAAGATTAAATAAAATTATTTTGACCAAATTCTTCTGAAAATAAACATATATATTAAAATAAAAAGCTAGAAACTTGTATTTGTAATAACATAAATCTTATCATAGATAATTATTATTATAAGTAATTAATAAAATTGTAAAATTAATATAAAGCACAAAAAGTACATCTAAATATCAAATATATACAGAAACATACAAAGTATAAATATTAATAAAATATGTTCATATAATACATTTTATTTGATCTAGTTTATTTTATATATTATTATCTGTATATATTTTATATTATTATCTCTATATACATATATATTCCATATATTTAAAGAATCTATTCCAATCTTACATTAAGTTTGTAAACGTTTAGTAAATAATCTGCTCTATATTTAAAAACTGTATCAACAAATCTATTAAAGTTCTCATCAACTTTAAATCATATCTGAACATGAAAAAATAAAAAGATCAATGACTAGATATTTACAAACTTGTATTGAAATGTAAAATTAAAAGTAATTATTCTCATAACAATAAAAATATATATTTTTGTTCTAATATTAGCAACATATGTATATATATCTTAGCAATATTTTATCAATCAAATTATTCATTTTTATCATCAATTCCGTCCCCAGTTTTTGTAGCGATACATGCAATGATCCTAAAATAATAAATTTTATAAAATAAACATTGTTATATATATATATATATATATATAACCAAACCGCCGCGTGTAAGTACCTTTCATACCTCCTCTTATATATATATATATATATATATATATATATATATATATACGTATGTGTTGTGTGTGTATATGTGTGTGTGTGTGTGTTTATGCGTGCACGCATGCACACACACGCACGCATGCACGCACGCACACACATATATGTACTATTACATTATTGTATTGTTTATATCTTAGCAATCAAGTTACTCACTTTTATTATCAGTTGAGTCCCCAATTTTTTTAGCGATACACTCAGTAGTCCTATAATAATATTTTATAAAATAAGCATTGTGCTATGTATATTGACATTGCAAAAATATTGATGCATGAATACACACATACAATTATACAAATTATTAGATCGCCAATAGATAAAATCTTACCAAAATTTTTCCTTCAGACAGTAACTGTACAGCACTAAAGCACAACAATAAGATATTTCACGTTCTTCTTTCTTCACAACAATAAGAGATACTTTACGTCTTTCTTAATACCAGCTTACCGTCAATATTTTTATATATGTTCTAAACATCAACGGTAAAAACATAGACCTAACCATAGAAATAATAAGAAAACACTAAGGGCAAAACTCAAGATCTCAATACGTATAATGGGCTAATCATGGAAAGGCGCGCACAGTATACGCGCAATCGCAAAAACATGTAATATCTACGTATATACAATTATTATGAATCAACCATAAATATATGTATAAATACGCTGAATGCGTTCAACAAAACAAACCGCATAATAGCAATCCAACGTGATTGGCTCTTACTTTTAGAGCCAATAAATCAACGTCGAGTGTTGATAAGACGATAACTCATGTTAGTAACTGTTCTGCTGAACGCGGCCAATATAACATGCGCGCGAGTACACAGTACACATGCGCGGGAAACACGTTTACGAGGGAAAAGGCAGCCATTATTTCTTAATCTTCCGGAGAACAGCGAAGAAATGAAGAAGCTCAAGAAGTAAGTATATAATACAAACCACAAAATTTTTAATAGGTTTAAAAGATACTAACATTGATTAACTGAAATTATAGTTAAATTAGAAACTTATTTCATGTAACTTATGGATTTTACAATAGATGGATTACATACACGTAATTAAGGTTAACCAATGTTAGTTATTATACTACAAAGATATTCTACAGATTTTATATTATTAAAGCAATACATTAAATATGTCCATATAATTTAATATAAATTAACCTTTTTCTAGAAACGCAGAGAAAGACCACCAATATTCCACAAATATCAATCAAAATTTAAGAAACGTAGAGGAAGACGAACATAATTTGACAAACATGGAAAAAGATCACCAACATTCCAGAAGCGTAAAGAATAATTTGACAAACATGGAAAAAAATCACCAACATTCCAGAAGCGTAGAGAAAGATGAACAAAATATAGCAGCCAATAAGAAGTAAGTATTTTCACTACACTAAATTTTTAATAGGTAATTTTATTGACATCGGTTAAGTAAAATTATAATTAAATCATATTTACATTAGAACACACTTATCTCTCTACGCTTAATTTAATATACCATATTTACATTACAACACATTTATCTCTCTATGCATAATTTAATATTCACATTAGAACACATTTATCTCTCTACGCATAATTTAATATATCATATTTACATTAGAACAACACATTTATCTCTCTACGCATTAAGTTATAAAAGCAACACATTTATGTAATCTTATATAAACTAACTTTTTTCCAGAAAAGATATTGAATCCGAAATGGATAAAGAAATGGAACTAAATCATATTGAAAATGTAGAACTAGAATTGTCTCTCACAAGAGCCGAGGTGAAAGCAATGGCTGATCAAAATACGGTTTTAAAAGCACAGCTTGAAAAATTGCGGCGGAAATTAACATCATCAACAAGAGCTACGGCACCATCACAGTCAACATCGTCTCTCACAAGAGCAGAGATAAAAGCAATGACTGATAAAAATACGATTTTAAAAGCACAAACAACACAACAATTAACATCACCAGCAAGAGCTACGGTACCATCACAGTCAACAGCGGAACCTACGATAGAGGCGATACCATCTCGACCAAAAAGTAAATATACATTTTAATTTAATATATTAAATTTAAAAAGTATTATTCTTTATACAATCTTTTACGTTGCTACAAATAGCATAGAAGCTTCTTGTTGAAAATAGATAGTATAATAATACTTAAAACAATCACTTCTTTGTTCCAGTTATACAACAACCATGCAGATGGGCCAGAGCAGGACGCGGAGGCCGTGGAGGTCGTGCAAATCGTGGAGGCCGTGGAAATCGTGGAGGTCGTGGTGGGCATGGAGGACGTGGAGGACGCAATCATATTCGTCAAAATATTTTTAATATATATTAATATATCTTTGTTTAAGAACAGATTTTTTATAACAAATGTGATATTACATATAAGATATAAGAAAATATGATGTTACATATATAAAAAGATGTATATAATGTTGCGTCCCTGCGGGTCATCTAAGGCGGTTTATTTATTTATTTATTTATAATTGCTTATTCTAATAAAATTTGTTATTTGAGATTACTGTTTGTGTACCACTGAAAAAAGTTTGAAATATTTGATTGTATCAATTGATTGATCGTAAATAATTAATAATTGCAACACACACCCGTACGCATACACGCACACATAAATTTATATATATATGATAACTTTATATATAATTAGGACAATGCTTATTCTAATAAAATTTTATTGATGTTTTTAGGTTACTGTGTATTACTCTAAAGTAGAGACATATATGTATAAATATATATACATACGTGTTTAATAAATAACCCGAGAAATGTCTGGTTTCGGGGGTGTCGGGCAGAACAGTCAATAAGTCACACACACAAAGAAATATGAGCCGCACTTCACAATTCGTCTAGCGATGATATCTCGCTTTATTCTAATAATTACACTAAATCTTATTAGTCTAGGATCTTATGCAATAATTCTATAGTTTGTAATTGAGAACGACCGCGAAATCCGCCGAGGAATTCGAGAGAGGTTGCAAGAGAATGTTACGTCGCTTTACGACGTACCGCGTGCTTCGTACGATAACTGCGTACAAGTCCCCGGTGTCCCGAGAAGGGATAGCGCACACTTCACGCGCGTATGATTCTTAAATTTGATGCTGTTAATTTCCGGGAGATGAGAATGACCGTTTGATACAACCGAATTAGAGTTCACTTGATCAGAGCCACGAGAATCTAAACCGAATATTCAGAGAGCGAAAACTGTTCTAAAGGCAACGTGCGTCACGATAGACCGGTACTCACAGAATGATCGAGGATTTCCGTAAGGGTCGATATCGACGCAGGAGCGCGAATAAGGTCCTGAGAGCGTGCTTATGATTGGGTGATAACATTGCGCGAGACTAGTTAGATTGATAGGACAGGCTGCGAGATTGGGTCACGGCCGCGTACAAGAGGAAAAAGGAAGAGAGAGAGAATGCTAGAGATAAGGACTAGAGTAAGTGAGATGCCGGTGCAAAGATTGAGAAAAGGGAGCGATATTTCCTGAACAATACGTATTAAATACAATTTATTTTAGATTAGTAATGATATATTAACATTTTTTTATTTTTTGTATATGTATATTATTTTATATATATGTATATATATGTAACATTTTATACATATATACATCTTTTCATATATGTAACATCATATTTTCATATCTTTATAAGTAACATCACAATTTTGTTATAAAAAATCTAATCTTAAACAAAGATATATTAATATATATTAAAAATATTTTGACGAATATGATTGAGTCCTCCACGGCCACCACGGCCTCCACAATTTCCATGACCTTCACGGCCTCCGCATTCTGCTCTGGCCCATCTGCGTGGTTGTTGTATAACTGGAACAAAAAAGTGATTGTTTTAAGTATTATTATACTATCTATTTTGAACATCAAGCTTCTACGCTATTCGTAGCACTATTTGTAGCAACGTAAAAGATTGTATAAAGAATAATACTTTTTAAATTTAACATATTAAATTAAAATGTATATTTACTTTTTGGTCGAGATGATATCGCTTCTATCGTAAGTTCCGCTGTTGACTGTGATGGTACCGTAGCTCTTGCTGGTGATGTTAATTGTTGTGTTGTTTGTGCTTTTAAAATCGTATTTTTATCAGTCATTGCTTTTATCTCTGCTCTTGTGAGAGACGATGTTGATTGTGATGGTGCCATAGCTCTTGCTGGTGATGTTAATTCCCGCCGCAATTTTTCAAGCTGTGCTTTTAAAGCCGTATTTTGATCAGCCATTGCTTTCACCTCGGCTCTTGTGAGAGACAATTCTAGTTCTACATTTTCAATGTGATTTAATTCTATTCCTTTAACCATTTCGGATCCAATATCTTCTCTGGAAAAAAGTTAATTTATATAAGATTACACATAAATGTGTTGCTTTTATCACTTAATGCGTAGAGAGATAAATGTTTTGTTCTCATGTAAATATGATATATTAAATTATGCGTAGAGAGATAAATGTGTTGTTCTAATGTAAATATGAAAAATATATCATATTAAATTATGTGTAGAGAGATAAATGTGTTCTAATGTAAATATGATATATTAAATTAAGCGTAGAGAGATAAGTGTGTTCTAATGTAAATATAATTTAATTGTAATTTTACTTAATCGATGTCAATAAAATTATCTATTAAAAATTTAGTGTAGTGAAAATACTTACTTCTTATTGGCTGCCATATTTTGTTTGTCTTTCTCTACGCTCCTGGAACGTTGGTAATCTTTTTCCATATTTGTCAAATTACTTAAATATTGATCGATATTTGTGGATTGTTGATAGTCTTTTTCTGTGCTTCTGAAAAAAATTTAATTCATATTAAATTATATAGACCGAAATGTATTGCTTTAACTAATGTAAATATGATTATGCGTAGATTGTTAAATAAGTGTGTTCTAATGTAAATATGATTTAATTATAATTTTACTTAACCGATGTCAATAAAATTACCTATTAAAAATTTAGTGTAGTGAAGATACTTACTTCTTATGGGCTGACATATTTTGTTCATCTTTCTCTATGCTTCTGGAATGTTGGTGATCTTTTTCCATGTTTGTCAAATTATGTTCTTCTTTCTCTACGTTTCTTAAATTTTGATGGATATTTGTGGAATATTGGTGGTCTTTCTCTGCATTTCTAGAAAAAGGTTAATTCATACATATTAAATTATATGGACATATTTAATGTATTGCTTTAATAATATAAAAACTGTAGAATATCTTTGTAGTAATAACTAACATTGGTTAACCTTAATTATGTGTATGTAATCTACTTTAATCTATTGTAATCCATATAAGTTACATGAAATAAATTTCTAATTTAACTATAATTTTAGTTAATCAATGTTAGTATTTTTTAACCTATTATATATATTATTATATACTTACTTCTTACGCTTCTTCATAGCCCTGTTCTTTGGTCTTTGGAAGATCGGGAGATAATGGCTGCCTTTTCCATCACGCACGTGTTTTTCGTGCACATGTATCCCGCGCACATACATATTCTATATCTATTGATATTTATTACCGACAGTAATAAAAATGGTAATTGTGCTCGCAGTATCATGCATTATCGATAAATTTTTAACTAACGCCATCTTGCGTGTAAAGCTCGAAAAGTACATTTTCATGTGCTCGACGACGACGACGACGACGTCGACGTTTCTTAAGTGAGAATTTCCACATTGTGACTTTGCGTCATAATATAGCCGTTCACGACACATGTAGAGTGAAAATAAAGATATTTTCGTTATATAATTAATACCCAAGCTATCGATTAAGCCTAGTAAGATCTTAATTTTTTTTTGGTTAAAATATTTTTATGATTTTATTTTCAATAATTTCAAATAGCACTATTTTATAAATATATATAAATATAGTCTTTCACAAGTGGCGCGTGTACTTGGCACCTTTTTTTCCCTTTTTTTAAAAAGGTAAGTTTTCAGGGATATTATTCTTTTTTGTAGTATATGTTAACATCTTTAAATAAATACAAATATACGATGGTATTATTAACAATAATAAATTTGTTGCAAATCTGTACAGAGCCAAATGAATCGAAAAAGTTTCGTAAATATTTTTTAGGTTTTTTCCACTATTAAAATTATAAATTTTTTTTCGATAATAATTCCAATATAAATCATTTAATCTGATTGCATTCGATGTGAAAAAAAGAGTAAATGTATAATATATTATAATACATATA